AGCCTCTGTTTCCATCGATGCAAAGAAACTTCCATTATGGTGGGAATTGTGCTCATAGTACCTTCATTATTCATGAGGTTTTAAGAATAATTTCAAGAGAACCGAAGCCAAAAAACAAGGAAAACTGAATTGGCAGAATCAACATGTAATTTCTTTGGCCAGTGGTGTTATTCTGCTCTCTGTGAAGCTATGAAGGTTGGGAGGGGAAAGAAGGGATGACCAGACTGAAAAGGTCATTTCACACATTATACACCACGCCATTATCATTTCATCTCTATGCTACACTGTCCATGGTCACACTGTACATGAATGAAACATGAACTAGAGAGAGTAACAGATTAGCTATATAATGCAACCCAATATACTGAGGGAGGACTTAATGCAGCTGTGTAATCTCCTTTTTGTTTTGCTTTGTTTCTGCACCAGAATAAAAAAAGCATATTGCTTCAAATGAATGTAGTAGAATTCTCACCTATCAAATTGTGATACATTGAGTCTTTTTTTTTTTTTACCTTTTTTTCTTTCACCCTCCATTTTCTTATTGTATATTTCGTTATCCGTTTCATTTCTGGATAATATCACATTTTTTTTTGTGTGAGTGGCACAAACTTTTGTCATACTGCGTATTTAATGATGAACTAAAAAAGCAGAGAAGTCTTTCAGCATATTTTTTCCATTTGTTCCATTTTGTTGCCCTGCGATGGACTGCTGCCCTGTCTATAGTGTACCCCGCCTCTCGCCCATAGACAGCTGGAGATTGGCACCAGGACCCCTAGCGACCCCGCTTGGGATAAGCATGATAGAAAATGGATGGATGATTAAAGAATTCCAAATTTGTGTATACATTTGATTGATTTGGGGAAAAAAACTATTAGAATATTTTATTGTATGAAATTCATTTTGTGATATGTTACTTATATCTTGTTAGCCAAATTATGTCACTTATTTCCTTTTGGTCATTACTGTGCCCCATGGCTGGATTTCTATTCAATAAAGTTTTTTATTTAGCACCAATTCACAACACGTCGTCTCAAGGCATTTTACAGAGACGAATCAACAAGATCATACAGTCAGATTGGTTCAAAGTTTTCTATCTAGGAAAACCATTTGATTGCATCGTCCCATTGACTCGAAGGCAATCCCTCACACTAAGAATGCATGAAGCAACAGTGGAGAGGAAAAACTCCCTTTTAACAGGAAGAAACCTCCAGCAAAACCAGGCTCAGTATTCAATGAGGGATTCAAGGAGACAGAAGTCACCATACAAAAAGAAGGAGAGATACAAAAGGCAATAGTCAACTGGCTCCACAGGGGGCCCCATCCAGGAAACACACAGCCAGGCAGACGAGTTCCGAGCCAGCTCCCGTGTCAGTGGATGAAAAAGAGCACATCTAGTCAGTCACAATCAAAGAAACAGAACTACACTGAAAAAAAGGCAAGCTCCAACCTCTTTAAAGAAAAGAACCCAGGTTAGGCCATCCAAGCCTGGGTTACCAACTAAGCCAGTTTTATGAAATACCCCTCTGGTGAATGACTCTGAATGATAGCTGCTTTTTATTACCCACTCTGAAGGAATTCCTGCTCAGTGAAGCATCTTACTTTAGAAAGTAATAAAAAATCCCATACAGATGTAAACCAAATTAAATAGCAACATGCATGGAAACACCAAATCTCCACAGCAGAAATTTGCATTGCAACAACAACAGCGGCATAAATAACTTTACCTGCCAGTGGTCATAGTTACGTTTTTTATGCTTTGCTTTAACCTCAAGAGTATTTTTCAAAGCTGCAAGCAGACTGAATAGAGCCATGCAAATAAAATCCAACATGTGCAGAGCGTCACGGAGACAGCCTCGCAACATAAACATGTCACCTGGTGATGACTTACTGCAATGTGCATGAATCGCCTTTAAACCACATCTCCCCACCTGAGAGCAAACAGCACATTACTGTGGAGTGTAGGTGTAATGCATGGCTCTATAGATCCCGGTAATGTTGCTACGTCTATTCAGCATTCATTTATTTCCTGTTTGACCCCTATTTCTTCACTAAATCCCCCATACAGGTAAAACCTTTTTATAAAAAAGGAAAAAAAAATCTCATTACAGCTGAATATGTATTCTGAGCAACACTTCATTCTATGAAATCCAGGATATTTCATTTTTATTCTCCCTCAGGCCACTGAAATCCCAGCATCAAGTGATTGTGGGTGTGTGGTGTCAACCCGCAGTTGGACGTGCAGCAGAAGTCTCTGATCTTGCACAAACGTGAGACAAGCATAACTGTTCTCCCACAAAGCTTTATCACAGCTGGAGTTTTTTTATTCTTCCCTGTGCTGCAGCTTATCTCACTCAACGCCATCCTTTACTCTCAGAGAGGTACAGAGTGAGGCAATGGGCACCTGAAGCTCTCACAGGGGGAGGGCTATGCGGTGTCCTCCTTATGGTTCAATTCTCCGCCTGTCAACCGACGGATGACATAAAGCCCAACACACACACAGCAAAGACCTTCAGCAGTGCTATCAAAGGCGCTTGGCCGACTGTTTGCCCTTAAAAACATAATTATATGTGCTTTCATTTATCTTCTCACTGCATGGTTGGTTGGGTTTCTCATAATGCCACAAATGATTTTCCTGTTACTCCCTTAAGACTAGGTGTCTTTTTGCTTACGTCTTATTTTAATTTAGAGTAATGATGTTTAGCACGCCTAGAAAACATCAATCCAGCTTATTAAAGTTAACCTAAAGTTGATGTATTGCTGTTAAGCTCCTGGTTCACAAACAGACCACTGATGCGGATGTAAATGATGGATATTCAACCATAGTAATCAATAAAAAACAGCTTTGATTACGGTGAAAGCTGCAACACTTTCTACTAATTTTGCAATTCAAAAATTTCCCTGTCTCCCATTTATCAGAAATGAAGCTTAGTCTGATTAGATAAAGGCCATTTGTGAGCATCAACTTATAAATATTGGAAAAAAGCCGCATTTCAGATCTGGCATTTCATTAAACAGTTTTAATATGAATAGCTTACACTTCAATCTAAACTAGGACTGCAACTAATGATTATTTTGCATATCGATTAAGCTGATACAATTAATAATCGGATATAATAAAATATAACATTTCTTTTACAAAATGAAATTAATTAAAGTGAAATTAAAATGTTTCTACTTGAGATGTCCTGAACAGAGCACATTAATAATAATAATAATTGAACTATATTGATCTCACATTGGAGAAATTTATCTCTGCATTTAACCCATCCCTTTGGGGACCAGCGGGCTGCCATTGTGCGGCACCCGGGAAAGCAGTGTGGGTTTAAGGGTCTTGCTCATGGACCCAGGGTGCAGGCTGTGGGGACCGAACCGGGTGCTTCCAACCTTCTTAGAGCACAAGTGCACTGCTCTAACCACTAGGCCAACACTCCCCTTAGACAATAAACATTTTCATTATATAAAATTCAAAATGTTTATAAATACATTTTACAATTTTGCTGTAACCACTGCTCTAAGTGGGTTGCTCTGTCAGCTAAAGGCATTTTTTATAGTCTCTATACTCTAGTTAACGAATAATCACTAATTAAATAAGTTGACAATTATTTAAATTATCGATTATCATGATTAATCCAATTCATTTTTTCAGCCCTAATCTAAACATAAGGTTTTCAATGTAGGGGTTGCAACCCCCTACAGGATTATCAAAGTATTGCAGGGAGGTAAGGGTTTAAATAGTTCATTTTATCAGAAAAAAAAAACAAAAATCGTTACAACTGCAAAATAATTTAAACAGGAAATAATGTGTTAATATGTTACCTTCACACATGTCTCAGATGTTTACATTAAGACTATATAACTGTTGATTTATTCTTGATTATTTTTGCTATATACTTTTAGATGGAACATGGAACTTGCTGTTAAAATTGGACATTAAAAGAAAACTCTTTTAACTCAAAGGTGTCAAGCTCAGTTCAGTGCTTCATGAGGGCTGGTGTCCAGCACTTTTCAGATGTGCCTCTGCTTTAACACACCTGAATCAAAAGTTAGGTAAAGAGAAGGACTGCAGGGAAAGTTACTGAGGAGGTAAATTCAGCCATTCGATATAGGGGTATTGGACCAGGGCCATCTTTAAAAGTTGCAGGAACATGCCCTTCAGGACAAAGGCTCCAGAAGTTGGTTTTCCTACATTTCACAATGAAAACATGAAAGTTTGCAGAACTTTCATCTGCTGAAATACCAAAAAACAAGTTAACAAGTATAAGTACTGGTAACTCACCTAATAATGTTAAAGATTAAAAAATACCTTGGTTGTCTGAATTGAATTATTTGATTATTCCTATATCTAACACATTGTTTTAAGTTAAAAAATAAGAATTCTCTTTGAGCTCAAAAGATGCATTTGTTATCTGAGAGTCCAACAAACCTGTGTCTAATGAGTGCCTCATTTGATGGCAGCTTGATGCTAAATAGATGATCAATCATTTGATTCATCCTTATTGGAACATAGATTCCCCCCAACAACCCTCTGGACAGACATGGTAAGGGAATGTTTGCTCCATCTCTCCAAAAATGTGGGGGTTAAGGATTAAATAAAATGTTAGATCTAAACAATCCCATTGTACCTCTGACTACTGGAAGGTAAACACCCTTCATTTGACCTCATCTGGGAATTTTACTTAGTTTTTTTGTCAAGTGTCTGAGTTTGTTTGCAGGCAAAGATACTAATTGTGTGTGTTCTCTACATCATTACTTTGTTTCTGTCTGCTACAGATCTAATGAAGGGAGAAGACTATTTTTACCTTTTAATCATATTAGGAAAATGTGCAATGAGCTTTGATTTGATTTATATATAATGTCTTTTGTCATTTAGCTTCTTTATTTTCACTGTTTTTAAACTGACAAAGTAGAACCTCACTTTGTTTTTAATGCACTTTTTTGCAGATAAAATCCTGCTATCATGAATTTGTTGCTCAATACATTTTATCTCTCCTCTTTTACAGATATCTCTTGGTGGGGCCCTTTTAGGGTGAAGAGCTTGATCTCAGATCCAATAGGGACTACATTTGATCTGCTTTTTTGGTATTTCTAGACTTTATATGATAAATGGTGACAGTTTTATTGCAACAAAATCTGACTTTCAGCCAAAGAATCTGGACCAGATGATCTATGGATTGTTGGCAAGAGTCAATGCATCTGCAAATGAAGTGGATGAGCAGTTTATGCAGCAGGAAAAGGGTTTGTCCTCTGTTGGAGTTTAAAAGCATCTTTTGCCTCAGAGTTTATAATGGTTCCTACTGAGAATACAAGTCAATTTTCATCAGCTGATTTCTGCCCAAACTGCAGCTCCTCCAGCCATTCAGATGTGCACATAGCCAAGGCGGTGGTTTTAGGGCTTGTGCTTGTTGTTTTTTTATTGTTTGGAGTTCTTGGAAACATCCTGGTGATCCTGTCTGTTCTGCTCCATCACCAGTGGCGATCTGTGACGCATTATTTTATCGCCAACCTGGCAGCTGCGGACCTCCTGCTCAGTTCGGCCGTCCTGCCTTTCTCTGCCACCTCAGAGGCTCTGGGCAGGTGGGTGTTTGGCCGTTCTTTCTGCAACGTGTGGGCGGCCCTGGATGTCCTCTGCTGCACTGCCTCAATTCTTAGCCTCTGTGTGATTTCCATTGACCGCTACCTGGCAGTGAGCTACCCTTTGCGCTACCCGGCCATAGCTACTGGCCGGCGAGGCCTGACAGCAGTGGCGGCTCTCTGGGGACTCTCAGCCGCTATATCTGTGGGGCCTTTGTTTGGTTGGAAGGAGCCTGACCCAGAAGATGAGACTGAGTGCCGAATCACACAAGAACCTGGATATGCTTTGTTCTCAGCATTAGGGTCTTTCTACATACCACTGGTTATCATCCTGGTCATGTACTGTCAAGTGTACACAGTAGCAAGAAGAGAAACCAAAACCATTAGGAAGAGCTCAAAAGGAGAGGGGGTGGAGATGGAAGGAGTGACATTGAGGATACACAGAGGAAATGCAGCTCAGGCAGGGAAACACGAGGGTGATGAGGAGACTAGGATGCACAAGCGCTCCTCCTTTCCTTTGCCAAAGCTGCTGAGGTTCTCAGGGGAGGAAAAGGCAGCCAAGACTCTGAGCATCGTGGTCGGATGCTTCATCCTGTGCTGGCTCCCCTTCTTTCTGGTTTTACCAATAGGTAGGTTCAGCCGACATTTTTTTATATTTTTTCTTGCGATCCGAAAATTAACAATGCTATTAACAATGAGCTAGTCTGAATTATTGATGCTCCAGGTAGAAAAAAGACACATTTACTGTGTAAGACAAGGGTATTTCCAAATACTTAAAAAAAAAAAAAACACACAAATGTATAAGAAAGTTACTTTTTTTGTATTTATTTTTTTTTTATTTTGTGCATTTATGTAAAGTAATTATCCCAGATAGAGTAAAGATTCAGGTCTCTATAAAGAGGGATTTTCCGTTAACCCAACACATACGAATTAATTAACAAATGAAAACTTGCAGCTCTTCTGCATTATTTCATGTTCTTATTCCTTCTTGGAAATTTCATTCCCAATAACGTCCTGTAGCTGCTGGCTATAACAGAGATAACAGAGACCTGTAGCTACCTGCAGTGCTTTAGTGGTAAGGCTGTTTGCATAGAGGTACATATTTTTTCCAATGTTCATTCCTCCATTTTTAGATGGCTATTCAGCATGTTGTGAGAAGACTCTCCCCTTAATCCTTAGAAATAAGGTTTCCAGTACAACTTGTACAAAGGCATTAATAAAAAACAAACCCTTAAAGGAATAGTGAAGTAACAATAAAACAAACAAAAACAAAAATACTGGTGTAACCTTTTCAAAAGACAGTATATAATAGTAAATTGCTGTCGCTGTACAATTTGTTTACAGCTGCACCAAACTTGAGTGATTCAACCACAGGGAGCAATTAAGCTCTGCTTTTCCAAGCAAGTCTTAGCTTTGATGTCCCTGCCAAGAAAACAATGTATTATATCAGATGATTTATGCAGAAGAAAATGGATAAGTCACCAATCTCTTTGTTTGCCTCAGATGAATACTTGCAATTGAGCACTACTGTTCAATACCGCTAATGTTGTTGTTTTTTTTTCTAATCACAGACAGACTTGGAGGAAATGGATTTTCCGTAGTGATTTTCAGAAGGAATTTCACTTCAAGTCTGTGAAAGCAGTTCCAAAAATTTTTACAGATATATATTACCGCGTTTTCATTGTGATTTTCTCTCTTCTTCCTTTATAAGACAACTGTCTGAGCTGCAGAAAACTGTTTAAAAAAATAAACATTTTGTCTTGGGAACAGCAGATATTTGCTTAGATAGTGCTGCACTCTTCATACTCTGAAGTTAGAGTTTCATTTGAAAATAAAAACAATGACCCTTAAACTATGAATATTACTTTGATGGACTGAAATTCCAAAATAATCCCAAAAGCAATACATAAGAATGCTGAAAGCTGCAAAAGTAAGCTATTTGTTTCTCCATCTTTGGGTTTTTTCTCTTTTATAATTAAGGATACATACAGGTGCTGGTCATAAAATTAGAATATCATGAAAAAGTAGATTGATTTCAGTAATTCCATTTAAAAAGTGAAACTTGTATATTTCATACATTACATTTCATACATTACATACAAACTCATATATTTCAGATGTTTATTTTGTTTAATTTTGATGATTACAAATGACAACAAATGAAAATCTCAAATTCATCATATCAGAAAATTAGAATATTACTGAAGACCAATAAAAACAAAGGATTTATAGAAATGTTGGCCAACTGAAAAGTATGAACATGAAAAGTATGAGCATGTACAGCACTCAGTATTTAGTTGGGCCTCCTTTGACCTGTATTACTGCAGCAATGCGGCGTGGCATGGAGTCGATCAGTCTGTGGCACTGCTCAGGTGTTATGATAGCCCAGGTTGCTCTAATAGTGGCTTTTAGCTCTTCTGAATTGTTGGGTCTGGTGTATTGCATCTTCTTCTTCACAATACCCCATAGATTTTCTATGGGGTTAAGGTCAGGAGAGTTTGCTGGCCAATTAAGAACAGGGATACCATGGTCCTTCAACCAGGTACTGGTAGCTTTGGCACTGTGTGCAGGTGCCAAGTCCTGTTGGAAAATGAAATCTGCATCTCCAAAAAGTTGGTCAGCTGCAGGAAGCATGAAGTGCTCTAAAACTTCCTGGTATGTGGCTGCGTTGACCCTGGACCTCAGAAAACACAATGGACCAACACCAGCAGATGACATGGCACCCCAAACCATCACTGACTGTGGAAACTTTACACTGGACTTCAAGCAACGTGGATGAAGTGCCTCTCTTCTTTTCCTCCAGACTCTGGGACCTTGATTTCCAAAGGAAATGCAAAATTTACTTTCATCAGAGAACATGACTTTGGACCACTCACCAGCAGTCCAGTCCTGTTTCTCTTTAGCCCAGGCAAGACGCTTCTGACGCTGTCTGTGGTTCAAGAGTGGCTTGACACAAGGAATGCGACAGCAGAAACCCATGTCTTTCATACGTCTGTGTGTGGTGGTTCTTGAAGCACTCACTCCAGCTGCAGTCCACTCTTTGTGAATCTCCCCCACATTTTTGAAGGGGTTTTGTTTCACAATCCTCTCCAGGGTGCGGTTATCTCTCTTGCTTGTACACTTTTTTCGACCACATCTTTTCCTTCCCTTCGCCTCTCTATTAATGTGCTTGGACACTGAGCTCTGTGAACAGCCAGCCTCTTTAGCGATGACCTTTTGTGTCTTGCCCTCCTTGTGCAAGGTGTCGATGGTCGTCTTTTGGACAACTGTCAAGTCAGCAGTCTTCCCCATGATTGTGTAGCCTATAGAACTAGACTGAAAGACCATTTAAAGGCTTTTGCAGGTGGTTTGAGTTAATTAGCTGATTAGAGTGTGGCACCAGGGGCCATCAATTTTGAACCTTTTCACAATATTCTAATTTTCTGATATGATGAATTTGAGATTTTCATTTGTTGTCATTTGTAATCATCAAAATTAAACAAAATAAACATCTGAAATATATGAGTTTGTATGTAATGTATGAATATAATATACAAGTTTCACTTTTTAAATGGAATTACTGAAATCAATCTACTTTTTCATGATATTCTAATTTTATGACCAGCACCTGTATGGTTATCTCCAACCTCTGTAAACAAAACTTCCTAACTGCTTAAAATGCTGACAAACAAAACTGAAAGAAGTTCACACTCTTAGATGTTAATTTCAAAACCAGGCAAAAACAATATCATGTGCTTTTAACTGACTGATTCGGGGCCAGTTTTGCTCGAGTGTTATGCCAAGCAGGAACATAAAATGCTGACACCGGCATCTTTAGCAGTCTGTATCACAGTATGGAATGGTTTCCCCTTCAGAAACCAGACCTAATGGTTTTCCCAAAGGTTGAATGAAAAGTACTCAGACTGCTTTTATTTATATGCAAGAGTCAAATAGCTGGTTAGCTGCAACAGTAAATCAGCAACGGCTACCTAATGCATTTACACATCAAGATTGAATGAATCCGTCTCGGCACAGGTTAAACTGATTATAAGAATATGGAAAGACTAAATTAACTATGAACATGGGATGATTGCTGGATGAAAACTACAATTTTCTGCCTCACAGAGAACGGTGAAGAGAGAGAACTTATTTAGTAAGAAACTGCAGAAACAAATCAAAGGAGGGGGGGATACTCTGTTTTCAGGGGGGTACACTCTCTCTAAAAAATGTTTTGTTTGGGCTAAAAAAAAACTGCTCTCAACTACTCCTACAGTCCTTGGAGGATAAAATCTATCAATAAAACACCAAAATAAAAAAGATCTGTTACAAATAACTTGGTTAATACTACGATGATTGCATTCACTAAAAAGGTGAAAATCAACCTAAAAACAAACATTGATAAACATGAACACTGATGTCAGGCAGAGGTAATAATTCTAGTAGAGCAAACTATTGAATCATCACCTGGGCAATGCACTGTCTGTCACACTTCAATCAGGAAAACAGTTCATGAGTATTGCATCAGAAACAGAGGTGGGTAGTAACTACTTACATATACCCAGTTTCATTTACTTGGGAAGTTTAAAGGAATAGTAATTTTTACTTTTATATGAGTAAAAATATGATAAAGTTTCTCTTACATGAGTAAAATTTTTGGCTGCTCCATACATTGTTTGTAACTTCACTTAATGAGAACAGGCTTGTTCTAAACAAATATGTACAATTAAGATCAATACTTTCTTCTTATAAGTACTCAGTGCTTATTGGTTAAAGGTTATCGTCGATCTGTTGAATCTGCCAGTATACAACAAACAGTATATTGACATTTTAAATATTCTTACCTACTGATTTAGCAAAGTTTATAAATAAAAAAAAAACATATTTTTTAAAGCAGTGTTCATTCCACCTATGTCTTTATTGTGTAATCTCTGTTTGTTATATATTTAATTTTATCTTATTCTTTGAAACACCACGATTTCTATTTTACTTAATATTTTGTTACATTTTTATATAATTTTGTTCGTGATCATTAATAATAAGTAGATCAGTTACTTGATACTTGAGCAGCCTTTTTGCCAAATACTTTTTACTTTTACTTTACCAAAAAATGTGAAGTACTGTTACTCTTAAAGGAATAGTACGCCCAAAACATGATTAGCCTTCATTTTCTACTCACCCCCATGCTGAACAACACTCTGGAGTACTTTTTTGATATCTCAAATGCATCTGGAGATCTGGGAGGCTTCTTGCTGTCTGCTGACATTCAAATAATGGAGGTCTATGGTGACCGAGACAGAAAGGTCCATAAAAGTCCACAAAAAACGTGTCAATATTCCTCCATACTGCTCGTCCAATGTATTCCAAGTGTCCTGAGTGGGTAGCATCCAGCGCATTCAGCTCGGCAAAGAACTCATGCTCTTCCTCAACACTGAAGTCCTCAGACATTTTTCTTTCGTTGTTTCTTTCTTTGCACAGGTAAACAGCACATTTCTTCTTCTACGCTTACATTATTGGCAGAGCAGACGCTGAATGCGCACTTTCATCTGGTTTGGTCTGCCGGCTTCCGTAGCGTCGTGAGCGCGCATGTGCGCGCTTTCAGGAAATCCTATACACTACTGTTTATGCTCTAAAAACATTCTAAATGACTTCGTTTCGAGTGAATTCTGGATGCTACCCACTCAGGACACTTGGAATACATTGGATGAGCAGTATGGAGGAATATTGACACGTTTTTTGTGGACTTTTATGGACCTTTCTGTCTCGGTCACCATAGACCTCCATTATTTGAATGTCAGCAGACAGCAAGAAGCCTCCCAGATCTCCAGATGCATTTGAGATATCAAAAAAGTACTCCAGAGTGTTGTTCAGCATGGGGGTGAGTAGAAAATGAAGGCTAATCATGTTTTGGGTGTACTATTCCTTTAAGCTCAATTTATGGATACTGTACCCACCTCTGATTAGAAAAACAAAAGACTCAAGAAAGGTTTATGTCCCACAGCTGCAAAGATGATCATCTACCTGCTGGCTGTAACTAAACATCCCTGCTAAAAATTCAGAAGAAGAGATTAGGCAGATATTGGGAAGACTGGTACAGTAAGAGACCAAAGAGAGACTGGTTGCTGCCAGGGTATGAGAAACACTCTCTCTTTACACCTTTATTGAATCTTGAATCAGATTTCCTACATCACCAGAAGACCACTTCTGTTAACATCAATTACTGTATCATATTCCTGAGTATTAAAGCTGACCTCGTTCATCCCTTGATGACCTAATTGTACCCACCTACTAAATGCTACTTATTGCAGGATATTGCACCATTTCACAAAGCTCAAATCATCTCAAACTGGTTCAATTTACTCCAACAGCCACAAAAGTTACCAAATCCCAATCTAATGGTGCAGCTTTAAGATGTTTGGGAAAGAGAAAACTGTTTTAGGGAAACAGTAAATATATGATGTTGCCCAGTTGATTCAGATCAAAATCTCTGAGGATTTCCAAAGACATCTTGTGAATCTAAGGCACACAAAATACAGCCGTTCTGGAAAAGGAAATTGATCCAACCCTGTACTAACAAGGTGTTCCAAATAAGGAGCTGTTTCATTTCCAGTACTTCCAGCTTTGTTTGCTGGTGACAGAAAGCCTGATAAAAGGGTAAAACAATTAGCATGTTTTGCTCCTTTTTGCTGTTTTCCATTGTTCAGACTTCTAAGCTTGAATTCAGTCTTGTATAATCCACTTAAACCAGGAGTTTTGCCTTTGTTTTGAAATTCCTGCACCTACTGATAGAGACAGCTTTGTATTTTTCTGATTAAACCTTTAACATACAAAGCTGTAGCATAAATTAATACTTAAGCATCAGCTGTTGTCAAGGCTTAACCGTGCACCTTGCTAATTAGTTTGTTGTGCACACAACTACAAGGAGGACCTTTTTCTTTGACTCGCCAGTCTTGACCGAACTGAGTCTATCACTTCTCTGAAAGGACACAAAGAAATTAAATTACAAGCAAGCAAATAGAGCAAACAAAACAGCAGAATAGCCTTCTTCTGTGAGATGAAATTGAATAACCCAACTATTGCTCTCGCCTAAGAGAAAGCCATTATAGATAACAAGCATGTGGTTTAATGGACTGCAATGCCAGGGAGGCTTCCAGAGTCACCATTGACTCCCAAGGGAGCCCGGTCATATATGGATGGTTATGCATTTCAATTGAGACAGACCTTCACAGCTCACGGCGCAGAACTCAAATCTGTGGCGATGATTGTCTGACATTCATAGGGTGAAGGTTTGAAAAACTGCAGTCTTTTCTTTTATGTTTAAAACTCTGCAGATGAAAAGCTGTAGCGGTTATTGATGGCACACCTTTCAATGAAGCTGAAGATTTATTGCAGAAGCACCGCTTCTATATGTTCCTTACAAAGTGTTTACAAGGCTCATCACACTGGGCAGCTCCATCTTCTGAACATCAAAGAGTCCATAATACTCCTGTGAAGCACTGATTATAGAGGAATCAAAAGCCTAGAAAATAACTCAGATTTATGAATTTTGAGTAGAAAATATAGCCTATTTGGTATTGCAAGATGCAGCTTTGACTTGACTTCTTGTTTCTGGATGGGTTTTATATAAGATTCTGCAAAATACGACATGCATTTTGAAACTGCAACAAAAAGTGACAAAGAGCCCTTGCAGGATTAATAAAACATTTTTTTTGGTCAATGTCATTTTCCAGTTTTGGATGGGTAGGAAAATTTAACATGGGGTAAATATTCTTATTTTCCTATCCTTATATTATGTCCCTCTGTCTCTATCTTGAAATATGATTAAAACCAGTTAGTTCTTTCATTCAGATGCTGTTAAAAAAATCTATGTGCATGTATCTGTCATCCAATTATTGATCTAACAGGGTTTAACTCCATCTATCATTGCATGAATTGGCCTCTCTGTTTGTTGATCTCCCCATCTATCACATACAGAAGAGTATGTCCAGCATCTATTTGTCCATCTATTTTGATTTTTTTATATATTTCAGCTATTATAGAAAGATCTACCAAAACATTTAGGAATTTTTCCATCATGGAATTGTACCGCCTGACAAATATTGAACCTGCAAAAGCTGCAAATTAAGAGAAAATCTTCTTTTGGGTTTAGAAATCCCTTAACATGTTACAGTTTCTAAACTGCAGTTGTCTGTTTTTCGTGTGTCAAAAATATTTATGTTTATTACTCAAGTAAAAGTAGAAATCCTACTGTTTAAAAAAACGTTTGTAGACCTTAGGGTATTGTTTATAGTGTTTTACTCAAGTAAAACTGTAAAAGTACAATTTTTAAAGATTTGCAGGGAAAAAAAAATTTAGGGACAGAAGCTTTAATAAGTAGCCTATTAAAGGAAAATTTTTATACAATTCTGCATGATAATTCCTTAGACTTAATTTTCTTAGTTTTATAACTATTGTTTAGCACTGTAAAATTTAACCTTGTATCATCTTGATAAACTATTTATCATGGTGCAGCACCAAGTCCAACCACAAAGAAATGAATTGTCTGGATAAAATAAATAATTTTTCATGTTTTCTTATTTTTCTTAAATTCCAACAGGTTATAATGAAAATGGGCTTAAATCAACCAAAACGAACGAGCCTATATTTAAAATGAAAGGAATAAAAAGTAGAGATAATTGCAAAACAATGTTTTTGCTATTATTTTGTTTTTGTACCAAGTTAAAAATAGAAACAAAAAAATACTTTTTTTACCATCTTGGATTTATACAGCGATAACAGAATATGAATCCTAAATACCTGTCAAAGCTTTTTTTAAAGTACATAAATAAGCCCAGCATTTAGTCTTTATAAAGGCTACCCCAGTCCTTCTAAACATCTGTGACAATGAATTATGGTCCCTTATACTCTAAAAGCTCTGGAAAATAAAACCCCAGGTTTCTATTTTACAGCTGATAAGAATCATGGGTAATTTGTTTTCATGCTTTCCAGTTGCTCTTAAAGCCCTGAGACAATCAGCCTGAAAAACTCTCCTACACTTTAATTATAACGAGCAGCGATATTGAGAAGATACAACTACTTCTTCATTTCCTTACTGTGCCCATCAGCTAGAATTAAATCCCTAAGAGATTTTACTTAATTTTTCTATCAACCAGCTTTTGGCCAGAATTGCATTATAACTGCATAACTCATTTAAAACGACTCTTTAAAACTGATAAACACCGTTAGTTTTCATCTATTATAATAATAACAATTTAAATCTTAAAACAGTTTTCAGTCAATAGGTCAGTTATTAAAGTTAGTCCAAATGTACAGGGAATTAAAAATCTTGCCTTAGAATATGTATTTATATCAAGTAGAAGCTGTAGACAGCGGAGTCACAATAAAGACTTCAAAATGAATCTCGAGAAGATGACAAACAGCATCCAACTGCTGATCTCTCTCAGAGCGCTGACAGCAAAGAACCATAAAAAATAAAATTGTATAGTTTTACAGATATACATATATGTAGATCACACTAAGTTTACATGGAGAACCAGTCTAAGGAGAATATATGTTGTTTCTATAGGAATCAAAGTGAAAGTGTTCCATCAGATCCTTGTTTTATTTAAACTGTGGTGAAACAGTTTAGAATTAATACAATTATGAACCTAAAATGTCAAAACTTTCCGGCCGAAACAAACATATTCTACCATCAGGAGTTCTTACGACATAGCTCAGGATTGCTTTCATTCACTACAAATAGACATCAGGCAGCATCAAATTCAAGCCCCTAGCAGAGTTTGACTGTGTAGGTACCAGATCTGTGGCAGTGACATTTAACTGTATGATTCGCTAAATGTTGCACGGTGAGGTAAAACAAGCTTTCAAATACACAGTCGGCTGAACGGCTGAATCTTGGAGAGAATTTGTCATCCAAGAAAGACAATAATACCAAAAAGTATTCAGAAATGGTTTGGACATAATAAAGTAGACGGACTAGATAACAGCTTTCCCCAATCTACAAATGAGCACCGTGTGCTTGGCATCTGGATCATTGAAAAAAAATCCAACTAACTAATAAAATTTAGTCAGAGAGGACAAATATCCAGCCATAATTATGAAATGTCTTTGGTGATCACAAGTAAAAAGGTCCTCAGTCTGTTTACAAACTCTATAAGATGTGATTATGCAAATATCAATAAAGACTGTATGTGCGTTCAAAGCATTCATCCGACCATTAATCTCGTAGCGCTTGGCCTTTAGGATCATTGTGGCTGGTGTCTATCTTTAGTAGTCTGGAATAGATGTTACTTCACACTGAGACCTAAAGGCAATTTAGAGTCATCAATCAATCTATCTATATGGATAGAGATATATAGACATAACATTTCTGAACTTGAAAACTTAATCCATACATGATTCTTGTATTATAATTTCCTTATGCATGTTCAAACTTCTGCAGATGATTTTTCATCTTACTAATACAAATTTTTTCCCCTTTTCCAGGGTCTATCTTCCCATCTTGTAAGCCCCCTGAAACCATCTTTAAGATAACTTTCTGGCTGGGTTACCTCAACAGCTGCATCAACCCTATTATTTACCCATGCTTCAGCCAGGAGTTCAAAAAAGCCTTTCACAACATGTTGAGAGGGCGCTGCATAAGAACTGCAGTTCCTAGTGCCAAACAAGGACACCCCACAGCTCATTCCTTTAGTCCCGGCCCGTCATCTAATGAAGCCATCACCTCAATCCAGGACAGTGCTGCTGCTTCCTCGTGGGCTTGCTGCAGGATGCTGTCGACATCAACATCATCTGTCGGTGCTCAGGATCAGGCTCAAAGTGGACATGTCCAAGGGAAGGGTCTGTTGAAGGCTTGGTGCCTTTCAGCGAGGCGATCCTCTGTAGCACACAACCCCTCCACAAATGGTTCAGCTAAAGTGTTACGCCTGTCTCTTGGCATTTCTGGGGAGCCTGTTTAATTGGCTTCAGAGAGTTCAGGACTTTCAATCTTGTCATCCGCCTCCTCAGAGGAAAAGTATGTACAAATCTGTCCACAAATGCAAAATCCAAGATAAAATGACTGCAGCAGGCTTTTGAATTGGGAAAATGCATGCTCAGCAGGAAACCTTTAGACTTGTTGTATTGCTGGACTCAATGGAAAAGGACTAAACCAAAAATGTCACTTTGCAAGCATAAACACACAGAAAGAAGACATACCCTGAAGAGCTTGGGAAGGATTAAAAGAGATACCAGCAATCTTCTCCAAATGAAATTGAAAAGCAACCCCAGACATGATTTAGTTAAGCATTAGTGGTGTTTCTCCAGTTTTCTCTAAAGGGAACAACACCAAAATCCTGTAGGGATAATTGCTATGAAGTAACAGCTCTGAGTGGGAAGATGTTAGAGTGTGTTTCCTCTCAATTCAAGGGAAACGTTTGAAATAACAAAGTCAGAAGAGAAACATGCAGTGGCTGCCAATTTTTTCATGCCCTTTGTCACATTATCACCACACACCTAAATGTGGTTCATTGTGAGGATTTAACATGAAATAACACCACAAGGCATTGCATAATTGGAAAAGAAAAGAAAAATGGAAACATGGTTTCCAATTTTTTTTTTTTGTGCAAAAACCTATAAATTGTGGCTTGAGTATGCATACATGTATAGCCCCATTAATTTTACACTACTAAATAAAAATTCCGTATAGTCCTGTTGTGACCATCTGCAAACCTACATGTAGACATGGCTGTTCCACTACAGTACACTCATTGGCTGAACAAGGAGACGCAGTAAGGGGTCCGTGGTATCTGGAGGACCTGCAGAAGGACCTGCAGCTCAGCTGTAGGAATCTTTTGAAGAACATATTTTAGGTTTTATTGAAGATTGACCAAAAAGATTACCAAGCAGGGTTCATGTTTGCAGCTTGTCTCAATGTATTTAAACACAACCAAGAAACAACGTGCAGTGCAAAGCTTTAACTGCTATTCCCTGAACACGCTATTTTACTAGGGTAAATTGGAGGTCCAGGTACATATCTTCAGCAGAATCATGGAAGCTGGTCAGAGTTTAGCTGAATAAAAAGCTAAGTTATCAGAGTCTTCCCATTAGATGTTTCAAAAGACTTGAGGCAGGGTCATAAGTTCATCTTTCAGCAAGACAACAACCCCAAACATACACCCAAAGCCAGATCAATGCAAAGTCACGCGTTATGTATTTAGTATGACTAAATCGGATAAACAAAACTCAAGTAAAAAAATTTGAAAAGTCCGCAGAGTTTATGTTCTTGGGGTGTCCTTGTTCTCTGAGCTTAAGCTCTTTTGCAAAGAAAAACGTGCAAAAAAATTCAGTCCCTGAATTTGCCAAGCTGATCAAATCATACAGCAGAATATTAAAGCTTTATTTGCAGACAAAGGTGGACTCATAATATTTACTCAGAGGAGGCTAAATGAAAATGCATCATCTCAAACTTTAGATTTATTTCACTTCATAATTATGCACAATTCTAAAATGATTAATACACTTTCAATTAAATCGATTAAAGCGTGTGGTTCTAGACTGATAAATTGGGAAGTTAAAGGGGTGTGAATACTTTTGAAAGGCACTTAATAATTCAAAAATGGAAAAAAAAATCTGAAGCTTGACAAACTGTTCTGAAATACTGCTGGTGTAAATATTGCTGCTCTGCCAATGAGAGGTCTGGTTTTCTGCTCAAGGTAATGCATGAAGAAATTGAAGCAACAACAGTGACACAATATTCTCTGAGATCAATCCATTTTGTCAGCAAGTCTTTTGTTCCCAGCACATTGACTATTTTTTGCTAAACTAAAGGAGTAAAGTAAATCTTCATGACTAGAGAAGCAGTGGTGTGATGAATTCAATTTGAGTAGATATGAAGTATCATGCCTGCGACACTTCAGTTTATGCGGGAAGGAGACAGGTCAGTTGGTATTTTTAGTTTGAGTTTTGCTCACATTAATAATTGAACCGAAGCACAAGAAAACAGAAAAAAAGGAATAAATAAATCTAGAACCAGCAGCAACATAGTATATTCATATTTATGAAATAAGGCGGAGATGACTAAATAAAAGCATGTGTGACAGTTGCAAACTAAGATCAAGAGGCACAGACAACTGAGGAATCTGGATACTACAAAATTAAACAGAAGAGGTGGAACAAACTTACAAATTAGGAATCACTTAGAATTCATCAATGAAACCATTTTGTTGTGTAGACATGCCTAAAACCAGGCTATATGCTTTTACCAGAGATAGATAAGATACTATAGCACATAGAAATGCAGTTAGTTGTTGAATTTATTTGGGGAGGGTTTAAAAGGCTCTGTTCATGCTGAGAAAGGGCAATGCAGATAAAAAAGTTTGCTTTGAAGTGCTGATTAATGTGGACAGAGAAGGTCAGAGAGAGATGCACTGCAACTTTGGCGTACATAATGGGATAGCTGGAAGAAACGTTGCTGTTGTGTTAGAAAGTCAGGTAAAGAAATCTGTGGGTTTGGTGCAGGACATGGGACAGCAAGACAGAGGTCAGGTGGGATTAAATCAGGGATTATTTTAGAGTGCTTATAAAAGCAGAGTCAATTCCTGTTTGCAGGAATGACTATATATTGTAGGTAGGGGACCTTTCCTTTAAATGCCAGCTCAGAACCCCCAACTTCCATTTCATACGTTTGAACAACAATTGTTTTAAAGGAAAAGTCCGGTGACATTCAGAATAAAAACTTCTGAAAGTACTTTAAGTATGAAATTATTACATACTTTTCAATAAATGACAAGTGTTTTTAATTAAGAGTAAATTAATTTGAATGTGCTTTACCGGAGACATCCATGTTTGTTAAAGAACACTACTGCCACCAACCAGTTTGCAACATCACAGTGCGGTATCGGCTGTTGAGCAAGTCCCAGTGCTGTATCTGGTGTTTGTCACATTATTCATGGTGGTGATGACCAGTCCACTATGCGAAGCAGAGAGAAACTGATTAATGACGTGTTTTTTATGTGGCCAGAAGTTTGATGGCAAATCCTCCCTCTTGATCTGGTGGATCATGAATTGGAAAGGTGAAATAAAAATGTTTTACCCTATGAATTACAACATCCAACTCTCAAATTCAGCTCTCGCAAATTTCAATGGTGTCCTCTCGAAATCTTATATTATATAATTGTAATGTCTAGTAGCTCCCATTGATTTTGCTTGTAAAGCGGGGAGAATGGCGCTAGGCTTACCAAACCATGACATCACTGCTGGAAGATGTCAGGATTCAAGTGTTACTATAGTTGGCAAAAATGGCCATTCCCGGACTCAGTGATCGTGAAGAAAAATAAATAAAATAAAATAAATTCATGAAATTACTGCAAAAATATTAGTTTTAGGTATAAATAATGACCAATCGGTTATCCATTGCTGACCAGACTTTTCCTTTAAATTCTGTCCCTCAGTGACCACCACCTTACATATTTTAGGGCTTGATCTGAATACCTAAAATTGTAGCTCCTACCACCTGTTCCTATCTCCTATCCCCTCACATTTCATTGGAGAAAAGGTTAGAACACTATCCAGGGCTGGAATGATGCACAGACTCAGAACAGGACTGCTGTGCTGAATCCAGACAGCCTTCAGTCTTATTGGGATTGAGCCCAAGTTTCTAATTTGTGCCACAGACCTGAGTTATGCATTTGATGTCAACTGAGAGCTGGCTCTCCCATATTTTATTTTATTTCCCTTTGGGATTAATAAAGTATTTCTGAATTGAATTCTGAAGAGGAACTCCCATCTTGCATCTGAGAAACAGGGAGAATGGGTTACTACATTAAATCCAGAATCATAGTTAATGTGCTGCATTTTATTGTTTGGTTTGAAAAGTGCCTATAGAAGGAACTAGTCCAGGGGACAATTGAGACAAGAAAGGCACTTCGTATAACTCTGTCATTTTGACACATAAATTAAATTAAATAGAATGGAGTTTGGATTTCCTTTGGTTAGTATGACTAAATGTATAGCTGGCACCTTTTCGTAATCAAAAAGTTGGGTACCACACAATTATCAAGCATAAACAGGTTGACTAGATTAGTTTAGGCCCAAGTCCTTAACATACTGTGATGAATACTGAGGAAATTGTGATAGTAAAAGTAGGGAAGGGGTGGACAGGTTTGAGTTGTGCCAAGAGGAGTGAAAGTCAACTGAAACTAGATTATATGTGTGTAGTAATGAGATGTGTAGAAGTGGAGCAGTAAAGCCAAACAAAAGTAAAGATGTTGAGGTTGAATGTAAGTATCTTGGGTTGATCATCAAAGCAATGGGCAAAGCATACAAGTGAAAGAGGGAGTTCAATCTGTGTGGAGTGAATAGACAAAAAGGAAATTTGACAAATAAGCAGCAGCACAAAGGAGAATAAGCTTGATGAAAGTCATGCAGATTTGTTGGCATATAATCATAATGTGAATCTACTGTTTTATTACATGCCAATGATGCTTCAATGGACAAGGATCTGGTGACCACATCCATCACTTGTGAGTGTTATGTAGGCTGTGATTGTCAAATGATACAAAAGGCGCCAAAGTTGTTTCAGAAAAATATTCCCCACACCATTAGCCCAACGCCAACAACAACTGTTGATGTAGCAAGCATGCCCAAAGTCGTCCCTCAAGGGAAGCTGTCCTGCAGGTCTTAGAGGTCCCCTTGATTAGCACGGCAGATTTCCATTGAACTGAACTGCAATCATCAGAATAAGCTAACATTGAAAACCTTTAAGAAACTGGCCTTCAAGGACCGACTTTGGGCATGCCTGATTTACAGAATTCTGAGGATATCATCCAACTGTTGTACCAGATGTTGAAACTTTTCATGTTATTTAACAAGTTACTGTCTAATTTTGGGAAGTCTGTGTGAACAGGAGTTTCCTGTTCTCTGACAGTAATGGAACTTCTGTTATAGCCTTTCTGCTTCAAGCTTTTAACTTCTATGTTCAGAGTTTGTGTTCTGCATTGCTTAATTGTAACAAGTAGCAACAGTGATGAAAATAAGTATTTGAGCACCCTGCTATGTTGCAAGTTCTCCCACATACAAATCATGGATGGGGTCTGAAATGGTCATTTTAGGTGCATGTCAACTGTGAGAGACATGATCTAAAAAAAAAAGGCAGAAATCACAATATCTGATTTTTTGAACTGTTTATTTGTAAGATACACCCGCAAATAAGTGTTAGAGTACATGTCTATCAGCTAAAATTCTGACCCTTAAATACCTGTTCGTCTGCCTTCAAAATGTCCACCTCCACTCCATTTATTATCCTAATTTAGAGGCACCTGTTTGAGATCGTTAGCTGTATAAAGACACAAGTTCACCGCATACAATCAGTAAGAAACCAACTACTAGCACGGCCTAGACCAAAGAGCTGTCCACGCACACTATAGACAAACTTGTAGACCTCCACAAGGCTGGAAAGGACTATGGGGAAATTGCCAAGCAGTTTGGTGAAAAAAGGTCCACTGTTGGAGCAATCATTAGAAAATAGAAAAAAGCTAAATATGACTGTCAATCTGCCTCGGACTGGCACTCCATGCATTATCTTACCTTATGGGTTCTCAATGATCCTAAGAATGGTGAGTAATCAGCCCATAACTATATGGGAGGAGATGGTCAATGACCTGAAAAGAGCTTGGACCACCATTTCCAAGGTTACTGTTGGTAACACACTATGGTTCCATTCATGGTTTGAAATCATGCATGGCAAGGAGGGTTGCCCTGCTTAAACCAGCACATGTCAAGGCCCTTCTTAAGTTTGCCATTGACCATTTGGATGATCCAGAAGAGTCATGGGAGGAAGTCATGTAGTCAGATGAGACCAAAATAGAACTTTTTGGTCATAATTCCTTGGTGTTTGGAGGAAGAAGAATGACAAGTACCATCCCAATAATACCATCACTACTGTATAGCATGTGGGTGGTAGCACCATGCTTTGAGGGTGTTTTTCTGCACATGGGACAGGGCGACTGCACTGTATTAATTAGAGGATGAATGGGGCTATGTATTGCGAGATTTTGGGGAACAACCTCCTCCTTCCTTCAGTTAGGGCATTGAAGATCGGTCAAGGCTGGGTCTTCCAAAGTTCAATTATTATTATCATTAGCATGACAATGACCCGAAGCATAGGATAACCAAGAGTGGCCCTGTAAGAAGCATATCTAGGTTCTGGCATGGCGTAGGCAGTCTTCAGACCTAAACCCAATAGAGATGTCTGTGACAGCAAAGAAGCCTGACTGATCTACTGATACAGAGAAGATCTGTGTTGAGATCCCTACTGCAGTGTGTGCAAACCTGGTACAAAAATGTAAAAATATTTTTACCTCTAATTACAAACAAAGGCTACTGTAACATATTTTAACATTGATTTTATCTGGTTTTCAAATACTTATTTACAGCTGTTCCATACAAATAATTAGTTAAAAAAAAACATGAATTGGGATTTTTTTTTTTTTTTTTAGATTATGTCTCTAACAGTGGACATGCACCTACGGTGACAATTTTAGACCCCCCCATGATTTTTGAATGGGAGAACTTGAAAAATAGTAGGGTGCTCAAATACTTATTTTCCTCACTGTATATGAGCTGCTGTTGCTCTTCTTTCAGCTCAAACCAGCTTACCTGTCCTGGTCTCATGTCTGACATCCACATTTCCATCCACACAGCTGCTGATCACTGGATAATTTTTTTATATCTCAAACTATTTCTCTGTTACCCTTTGAAAGTGTGTAAAAATCTGAGGATATTGTCAGCTAATGAAATACTCTGACCATCATGCAATGTTCAGTCTCTTTAATCACATCTTTTTCATCAGGCTGACGGACGATTTTAACTTCAACAAGTTATCTTCACCACATCTAGATGCCTAAATGTGTTTAGTTTCTGCCACATGATTGGCTTGTTTAATATTTGTGTTATTAAAGCATATGAGCATATATGACTTATAAAGTGATGGGTGGATGTATATTTGAGACTACAGACAACAAAACGAAAGCCCCCAAAGCCTCTAGAAAAAAAACAACGGAGAACCCAGGACATTGTTTTGTTTTACTTAGTGTCATTTAGAGTAGTTGGTGAAAAATAGATTTAAAAAAAATACATATAACCTGTAAATGATTTATGAGTACTATAAAAACATTACTGATTTGTTTTGTGTACCCCTCTATAAAAGCTTTAAAAGTTTGTGTGCTCAAGTGCATCTACTAAGAATCCTAATACACATGATTAAGTGTGCACTTAAAGCAGCACTAAGTAACATTTTGACCTCAATATATTCTCTTCTTTGATGTTATTCTAAGTGTTTATGAGATGACCCAGGGTTCTATCATCTCCCCCAACTGGTTCTGGTAATAAAGTCACACTTGCAATGTTTGTGCCACCAAATTGGTGGATGTCTTTTGGCTATGTTCTAATTCTCACAGGAAAAAAGGTTTAAGCAATTGGTATTATTGGAACAGTTTGTTTTCTAGGTATTTTGGAGGTTTATGACATGGCAGAGGCAGCAAAACCAAAAGAAAATGCAAAAAAAAAAACGTTCTCAGAAGAGCAAAGGAAGAAAAAATGAGAATTGGATCAGGACAGGTTTTGCAGAAGAGTTCAATTTAGGCAAGGCGTTTGCTATTTGGAGAGTCCTGAACAAAAGGATGAAAAACTGATGTAGACCTGCTGCTGAACTTTAAAGTATCCTATCTGCTAACCTCTTTTAGTGTTACTA